TACTACTACTAACTAACTACTACAACTAAACTAACGTACGTACTACTATATATATATATATATATATATATATATATATATATATATATTGACGGAGATTATTTCTCATTCCAATTCACGACATATGGTGAATTTTAAATATTTACTTCAAAAGCTAACAATTTACATATGATACATGTAAGCCTCATTCCAATTCACTACACAAGGTATCTCTTATAAGGACTGTAAGGCTTATAAGACTCTTGTATTCGCATTATCAGGTGGCCTTATGAATCTCCCTCACTAGGGGGTTTAATTGAATTGGAAATTTTTAGCCTTATAACTAACAAAGCTGTTACAAACTTATAGTTGGTTTAATTAGAAATTTTTTCTTCTGGACTTTTCTATAGGATATCTAAGCTAGTTAATTGGAAATCCTTTTGGTTTTCCAGGCTATATAGGGTTGTAACTGACAGCGCTATAGTTGAGCCTTATAAGGGCTCTGTTGGTTGTAAGGCTAGGACTTATTGGTTGTAGGTGCTTATAGCTCTGTTGGTTGTAGCCTTAAAAGGCTCTGTTGGTTGCAGAGCTGGTTATAGGTACAATCAGCTATGGTTACAACTTATAGGCCTATAGTTGGTTGCAACTATAGTTACAATCCTTACAACCATAGTTGATTGTAGTTACCATATCCTTATCCTTATAGTTACAACCAATTGTTGTAGGCCTCATTAAGTTATAAGTTTATAAGGTTGTAAGGTTATAACCTTATAAGGTTGTAGGTTTAGGTTAAGGTTATAACCTTAAGGTTATGGTTGTAGCTTATACTTGGTTGTAACTTTAAGGTTATAACCTTATAAGGTTGTAACAATAGGTTGTAGCTCATAGTTGGTTGTAACCTTAAGGTAATGTAACTTTAAGGTTATATTATAAGGTTAAGGTCATAACCTTAAAGTTACGGTTGTAACCTATAGTTGGTTGTAATTTTAAGGTTATAATAATCGAGGTTTACAAGTTGTAGCTAATAGTTGGTTGTAACCTTAATGTAACTTTTAAGGTTATAACTAACTCTAGGCTACAACTAATTGTAGGCCTTAAAAGGGTTATAACCTTAAGGTTATAACTTTAATTTTATAGTTACAATGATTGAATGTAACCAGTGGTTTAAAAAACGAATCAGTGCCCTGGATTGAGCATCCCAAAAATCTATCCGGATCAAAAACCCCTGAATCGGTCGGATTAGGCTTTACAAAAATCTATAAAAGTTATTAAAATTCATTATAAATATTGTTTTTTAGGAATTCAATAAGAAATCGGTGTATTACATTATTAAATTTTATTTTTTTTATCAAAATACGAATATTCAGATGATCTTTCTATGTATGAATTTATTTTAACCATTACATTTACATCACACAAAAAAAAAATCATGGAATTATTATGGATGAAGTACATAATCATACATGGACTACAACAAAGAATAATTTAAATTGATGAAAAAATGACCACCAAAATCTCGAATTGGTGGAGAACCCTAATCTTTTAAAAAAAAACCCAAATTATTATAACCTAACTAACTATAATCTAAAATTATTACAACTTAACTAACTATAATATTATATACTGAAATTAAAATTGTTGGTTTACATTTTATAATTATTTTACTATACAAATAATAACAAATTCAAAATATCTTATAATATCATCTAATGCAAAATATAATAGTGACAACGGTAATAAAAATAGTACATTATATAATTTATAATGCAAATAAATTAATAAACAAAATAAAAGATTTAGTTATTAATGTAGAAATTATTAGAATGTGTATCATTTTTTCAAATGGCCTCATTTTATAAACCCTATCTTTAAATTAATATTCTTAAAGATATGTTAAAGACCACCATGTTATAAAATAAAAAAAATAATTAGACCATTTATTCATAGATAAAAAAAAATCTAATAATAAGTATTCATAGATGAAAGACAGAAAAAGAGCTAACATGCTTCAATGCTATATTGTGTTACCTTTACATATCTAATTTAAGCTTATAATAATCGTAGCTTAAATGCATGTTTGAAAAGCATGATACTTGTTGTTTTATCTTTTATTTTGTTTTTTTGACAAGAAATACATGTTGTATTACCGTTTATTTTTTGTATTACTTTTTATTTTTTTGACAAGAACTTTTTATTTTTTATTTTTTTTACAAGAAATACTTGTTGTATTATCTTTTATTTTTTTGACAAAAAACTTTTACTTTTTTTGACAATAAATACTTGTTGTATTACCTTTTATTTATTTTTGACAAAAACCTTTTATTTATTTTTGACAAAAACCTTTTATTTTTTTGAAAAAATAAAGCAATTTGATAAGAAAAGGAATTGATAAGAGAGCCTTTCATTTTTTTTTTGACGAGAACTTTTTATTACCTTTTAATTTTTTTGACGAAAACCTTTTATTTTTTTTAACAAGAAAAAAAAATTTGATGAGATAAGAAAAATGACCAGGACTTTTTATTACATTTTATTTTATTTTAACAAAACCTTACTTTTATTAACAAGAAAAAAAAAATTGACAAGAGAAGAAGAAAAACAAAGTTAAAATATGACAAGATAAGAAGAAAAACAAAGTTGATTCGAACAGACCTCCATGGGAAGAATCGCAAACTAGCGACTTCCATGTAAAGAAAGGCCATGCTAACCTGTACACCACATGCTACTATGTGATGTAATCAACCCAAATAAAATAGCATAATATATCATCTTGTCATGTTATAACCTTTTCTCACAATATCCTGCATCGAAAAGGTGGAAGTAGGCAGATGGGAATAAATACTTCCTTGTACTCCAAACACGTATCACGTGCCAGTCAATGTAGAAGCTAAAGGCCCTTGGCTAGGGATACGTGGTGTGGTGTGGACCGTAGGTTTTTTGACGAATTTTAACTCATACACGTCATGCAACGTGATTAATGATGTCATACGTCATGTAGCGTGTTTACTGTACAGACGTGATGCAACGCGATTAATGACATCATGTAGAGAGTTTACTGTACACACTTCATGCAAGACGATTAATGACGTCATGGAACGAGTTTACTGTATAGAATCACCGGTTCTTCTCTAGAATTGGGTGTTCCAACGTCTTTTAGCGGAATTGACACGGGGGGACCGATTCCCGTGCTGACTCGGGCGAGTACGTTGCAACTCACCGATTTTTTAATCACCGGTTGTAACTATAAGGGTTGTTGTTATAATTACCATAACTTTATAACTATAAGTTATAACATTAACCTATATTTATAAGGTCATAACTATAAGGCCTACAACTATTATAACTGTAGTTGGTTTTAGTTACATCCTTTAAGACCTATAGCCTTAAAGGGCTTTGTTGGTTGTAGAACAATAAGAGTCGTAGGCCTATATAGGTTGGTTATAGGCCTTACAAGGTTGCAGAGCTTTGTTGGTAATATGCTTAAAAGGGCTCTGTTGCAAGCCTATATTGCTATAATCACCTGGTAATGTGTTTATAAGGGCCTGTGGTTGTAGCAAACCAAAACGTTCCCAGCTCCTAGGCTATAACCAAAATCAACAAAAAGCCCTATGGTATTTCTAACCCCCTCTGTTGGGGAATATATGTAGCTTTTATTTTTAATTTTTTTGGGTATCGAAGGGGATTGCCCTAAAATTTTGAGACTATGCACCTCAATAAGTTGCACCCAAAAAAAAAAGGGAAAGAATAATTCATTTTATCACGAGGTCATCTACATAGCATTCCACCTCTTCATGCAACATGTCTTCGAAGACTATGGTCATGGCTTGTTGCTAGGTGGCTCATGCATTCTTGAGCTCAAATGGCATCATCGAGTAACAATAGACTCCCTTGGGAGTCAAGAAAACTATAACTTCCTTATCTTCAGGAACCATCCTTATCTAGTTATACTTCGAATAACTATCGATGAAGGAGAAGGTGAAGTTTGTTGTTGAGTCGATAAAAATTTTGGTGAAAGGAAGTGGAAAATCATCTTTCGGGCATGCCGCATTCAAGTCGCAAAAGTTTATGTACACCCAGAGTTTCCTGTTCTTTTTCTTGATTCGGACAACGTTGGCCAACCATCTTGGGTACTGCACATCCGTTCAGCTCTTAACTTCCTCGATTTCTGCTTCACAGGTTTGAAAGATGGGTCTATCCCAAGTTATACACTGTGACTTAGGGATCAAGACTAGGCATCTCATGATAATACCATACAAATACATATCTATTAGCTAGAAGGAAGTTAGCATATTCTTCCTTTTCTTCGGGAGGTATTGCTGCTGAAATGAAGATTGGCCTTGGGTCAGTTTCATTACCAAAGTTTATCTCCTCCAAGTCGTCAGCTATAGATTGTCCATCGTCTTCCAACACTTTAGGTGCTTCCTCTACTTTCCAGTCATCAAAAGGTAGGGGACAAATGGTTCATGGGTTGTTTCGAGCACCATCATCTCTTGGTAGATGACTGGAAGCTCTTTCTCATCTTCCTTTGTTTCCAAGACCTCTGCTTCTTGAGAACCATGGGGGCGAGGGGGGATTTTCCAGCTAGAAAGGGGTACCCTCGAGAATCGAGGGCTCATATGATGGAGGTGGAAAGGGGTACCCTCGAGAATCGGGGGCTCATATGATGGAGGTGGCGAATCCTGGGATGGCGTTACATGGGTAGTCTGATCAACCATAAATGACTAGGAGGTAGGTAAGTGGGCTCATATAACCAAGGCCTTGCTTTCCAATATACTTTATTGGGGTGGACTTCAGGATTTCGAAGGGTGCCATCATGCCTTCACCATCATTCAGCCCTTGATTAGAGGCAAGCTAGTAATCTCTCCT